AAAAAAAAAAAAAAGAACCATTGTTTTCTCCATTTCAGACACACACATACATTGCATGTCAAAATTCTAACACACAACTGAACAATATTCCTTACTGTTAAGCACTCACTGTGTGGCTATCTATTTTTGCCACCATAAAAAAAATACTACAATAGGGCCAGCCAGTGGTGTGGTGGTTGGGGCAGCTGGATCTCACATGGCTGAATACATGGTTCGAGTCCCAGACCCGGTGGCTTGGGAGGTACACTGGGCGCATGTGCATGCTGCCTAGAATCCCGAGAGGAGAATGGAGGAGAAGGGGAGAAGGGATTGTGGCATGCCCACGCTCCTGGGAGTTTTCTCTCTCTCTGTATTTCTCTTGTGAGTGCACATGCTATGTAGATAAAAAATAATAATAAAAAGATAGAACAAATCCTTCAACATAAATTTATCGTATCGATTTTATTCCTGTGGGCTAGATTCCTAGGAGTGGGTTATCTGGGTTGGAGGTTTATGTATTTCTAATTTCATTCATTGTTTCCAGAGTGCTGTCCTCGAGGGCCACGGCAAGTCACGTTCACACCAGCGCACAAGGGTGTCCTTGACCCAACCTCTCAGCCAGGAGCAGAACACTTGGATGGTCAAAATGGATAAGAAAAGGAGAGTGGTTTGATGACTCTTAGGTCCCTTCTCGTGGTCGGGTCTGTTGATCTGGTGCCTTCCAGATCTCCCAGGAGGGCGTGGACTGTGCAGATGTGGCCAACATTTTGCTTGGCATTTTCTCCCCACGGTTGTCCCCCCCCCGCCCCCCCCCTTCTCCACAGCACATTACTCATGACCCTGATTCCGAGTTCTTAGGAAATGCCACAATATTAAAAAAAAAATCTGGAAATTTCACACACAATTTCAATTTCTCTGGAAAAATTGGAAACACGTTTCGCCTCCTGCCCCCATTCCTGCATGACAACAGTTTCCTACAGCTGGGAGGGGCTTCCTGACTCCCGCAGGGCTACCTGGTTGCTGTAGTCCTCACTGTAGTTGCTATCTGGTTTGCCATCGTTCTCACTATCCTCGATGCCCTCTGCGAGCTCAGTGGTAACGGTTACCCATCATGGCATTGTCCCTTTTGTATTTACATCAAGTCCGTTTCATTTTAGACCTACCTGATCCCTTGAGGCATTGAATTTGGGACTCCTTAAAAACAAAATGAGATGAGAAATTCTTCAAAGGGAGTGGAAAGACTCACTAAAGAGGGAAGAGAGGTGAGAAAACACCTTCTCAGGCAATCTTTCCCATTTTAGCATAAAGCTCAACTTCCTTGAGAAGCTCTTTGCTTTCCTACCACTTCTGCTGCCATGCACAAAGGAATAATCCATGTAAATAAGTAAAACATAAACTCATCTAGGGAGATAAGAGCTGATGAGAGTGTCTGGGAAAGACCTCTGGGTGCAGTTGTTCTCGAAATGTGTGAAATGTCACCTTATTTAGAGGGGATTATGTAAAATGCAGACTCCTGGGCCTTACCCCTGGGGACTTTCATTCAGGGGACCTGGGCTGGACCTAGGGCTCTGCATTCTAAACAAGTTCCCCACGTCATTCTGCTGCAGGGAATCTTGAATGCCACACGACAAAGTTGAAGCAGCGTCACCATGATCAAGTGCCCTTCCCTGGCAACTATGCCACAACTGCAAACCAGTTCCTAGTAGTTTCTCGCTGCCACAGTCTTTCCAGCTAAGGACAGTTTTATGGGTGAGGGTTCAAGACCCCCTATTGACCCCTGGGCTTCTCAGATACTTACGGATCTGGGGTTGGAGATGTACAAGGAGGCATCGCATACAATGCCATAGCCCACCAACCGTTCTCCGGGGAACAGGGAGCTGGTGTTGACGGGTGAGATCAGGACTTCAGTGGTTTCTGGGAAGATCCACTCCACGGTCACGTCACTCAGGACCGGGGCCATGGCCTTCTTCAAAGACTTGACCATCTGTTGCGCAGGGTGGAACACAGATTGGGGGATGTGTGGGCAGGGGTGTGCACAATAATGTGGGGAACTTGTTTAGAATGCAGAGCCCTAGGTCCAGCCTCCAGAATCAGTGCCCTAGCTTCCAAGCAAGACCATACCTCTCCGAGAAAGCCTTCAGCTAACGACTGAGCTCGGCAGGGATACTAGCTGTGGGTACGAGCTTGAGGCAGTGAAGGCAGGGAAAGGGCAACAGGTCTTTGGGTAGCTTGCCCAGCTGTGAACACATCCCTGAGCTTCTTAGAATCCTAGAATGTCAGATATCAAACAGATCTTTGCTGTCATCCTCTCTGAGCTTCACATTTGCCAGTGAGAAAATCCGAGGCTCGTAGTAGGGCTACACCTAGTGCCAGGGCACTCAGAGGTCTGGGTCAAAGCATGGACCAGACAGTGACCTCAGGAAGGTTAATCACCTCTCTGGGACTCTTATTCCTCTTCATAGGAGTATTATTTGTACTTCAAATTCAGTATTTGCACTGCCACATCGTAGGTGTCCAGTAAATGAGAGCTCTGCTTAGCATCATCTAGACTGAGCTCCTCAGATATACTGCAAACCTGGGGGAGATGATTTTGGGAGAGGTGGTCAGAAAGATGCACTCTTTTTTATTTTTTTGGAGATGTTTTTGCCATAGGGCGTGTGCGCTAGCCAGCCAGCCAGAGACAGAAAGCGAGAAATCACCCTCCCAGGGAGGATGGCCACACCGCAATCCCTTCTCCTCCATCCTCCTCTTGGAATCTTGGGCATGCACGCACACATGCCTGGCATGAGTTTTAAGCCACAGGGTCCGGGACTCGAACCGTGGTCGACTACATGGGATTCTAGCGACATAGCCATTACGCTAACTGCTCATCCTCAGAAAGGTGCACACTTCAATTCCCTTAGAGATGCCATGCCCTTTGGCTGCAAGGACTGAAGTAGTTAGGTGACAGCCTCCAGAATCAGTGCCCTAGCTTCCAAGCAAGACCATACCTCTCCGAGAAAGTCCCCAGCTAACGACTGAGCATAGCAGGAATACTAGTTCCTGGCTGGTTCAGGCCAGCACAGACTCTCTGATGGGCAGTCTGCACACAAGCTCCAGACTGACTGAGACCTTGCCAGAGCATTGCGGGCTGAGTCTCTCCCTGCCCGACCCAGCTTCTTCCACTCCCATTCACAGGCACTGGGTCGGCTTCATTGCCACCAACCAATAAACATCTTCACTCTGAGCCCAGGTGCTGTCTCTGCTTCCTGGAGAGCCTGCACTGACAAAGGAATCTTCTAACGGTTGGATTGCTTTGTGCAAAATGTGTGGGAAATAGAGGGAAGACTATGACATCTCCTTTATTTTCGGGCTCTTTAGATTCTTCTGAGCCACCATTTGTCATCATCAGGAATGGCCCCAGATGCAACTCCAAATCCATAATAGTGGTGGCTCCTTTAGGGAGCCTCTTTTCTGGCCACAGTGAATGGAGCATGTGGTCCAGGGGCTGGAGACCAGGCGACCTAGTGTCGACCTGCTCTGTGTCCTCCACCTCTGGTTTGTACTGAGTTACAGTGTAGCTTAGCAGAGAGCTGAATCCTAGCTGCACAGCCAGATTGCTGTGAGAGTGCGCTGGGCCTCTGCGGTTCCAGCACCAGAAGGGACTGAGCGTCTCCCCACCTACCTTGGGTTGTAGCCGCTCCCCCTCCACCAGGAACTCAGCACTGCCTTTGGACACAGATGCCAGCCCCTTCACCAGTCTGTGGCAGACGTTGGGTCCAATTCCAAAGCTATAGCACCTGGAGCGGGGGGCCAGAGAGGCTGCTATTCCATCCTCTGCCTCTTTGCCCCCTGATGGGGGAAGGGACAGAGCTGATCGGGCAGAGCTATCTCGGAGTTGGCCCTTCTTCAGGGAGAAGGAAGAAGGGCCATCAGTGGGCACTCACCTCCACATGTGGACAGCCTATGAACTCCCACCCAGCACCCAGCATGGAGTCAAATCAGCCTCTTCCTAGGCAGTCCTTTGGGAGTTGTATACAGGGTGTGAGCAATCATCCTTCTGAATTTTTGAGGGGGAAAGGCAAACTTTGAAATGAGCCTACATCATCCTAGAAGCAAAGCACGATGGAAACTGTGGGTCCTGACCTCACCCTTGAGCACTGTGGACTCGGTGTGGTTCTGGTAACCCAGCCCAGCCGCCCAGGTAACCAAGCCCCAGAAGCGCAGCCTGGGCTGACCTGGTGGAGAAGGCATGGTTCCGCACCAGCTCCAGCACCTTCCCGGTGTTGCTGACGGTGCCATCTGTGATGAGGAAGAGGAGCCGTGGGTGGCCTTGGTGCACTGGCTGCCGGATGATCCACTTGAGAGGGGCAAGGATGTTGGTGCCTCCCATGTCAGCCTGCATTCCCTGGATGTGATCACAGGCCATGGCCAAGCTCTCCTGCAGGGAGGGGCCGCGGGGGCAGACAGTCCCAGAGTCATCATATAGCACAGACTCCAGGTCACCCAGAGATGAGCTCTTTGTTTTCCTAGGTACTGTCAGCCTCACTGGAGTTGGCACACACTCCCGATTTCACCCCTGCCCCACTCCCAGGCGGAACAGTGTCTGCTTCCTGGTGTAATCCTGCCTAGTAAGTGCCCCCCCACCCCCTTGTCTGAAGTGCTACCCTTTGTGGTATAGCAACTTAATGTTGTCCTTTCTGTGCTCCTCTCTAAAAATATCAACACCTCTGGAAAGGTAGCACGTTAAGTTCCTGGTTCTTCAACACAAAGGAGGTTTCCTTTTCTGCTGAGGGAGGCCGGTGATGTGGTGGAAAGAACCTTGAACTAATAATCTGCATCTCGAGCCTCACTCTGCCCCCAACTCTCTATGATTTATGGAGCAAATAATTTCTCCATTTGGGCTTTGGATTTTCTCCCTCCAAGTCCAACACTGTGGAGCCCAGCTGGCCATGGATTACTGGCACCAGATGGATGTCACTGCAGCAAGAGTTTGTTTCTGCTGGACACAGTGTCTTCCTGCTCCAGGCTCAGGGAGCTGCTTTCCAATTCCCACGCTTGGGAACTTGCAAGCAATGGCACATACCCAAAGTCTTACAACGGCATATATCCCAAGTATTACGATGGCATATACCAAAATCTTACAATGGCATATACCAAAGTATTACGATGGCATATACCAAAGTCTTACAATGGCATATACCAAAGTCTTACAATGGCATATACCAAAGTCTTACAATGGCATATACCAAAGTCTTACAATGGCATAGACCCGAAGTCTTACAATGGCATAGACCCAAAGCATTACAAGGTATCTGTAGCTTCTAAGCCAGCAAGATTAGGGATTAATCTCAAAGGAATAATTAGGGGTGCCAAAAAAAATCTATGATGCAAAGATAACTAAATGGAGAAAGATGGAAACAACTGAAATGCCCAGCTATGGGGACTTTGTTAAGTAAGTCCCAATCTACCTGTACAGTGAAATATGAGGCAGCCCTGGAAACCATGGTACAGGTTGTTACCCACTGCCATGGGCAACATTCACCAACTGTTGGGCTAGAAAAATAGGTTACAGAACAGTGCAGAGTGCTAACCCTACCGTCATTGAAAATGTGTGTAAATGCACACAGCAAGGTCTGGAGGAATTTACACCAAGATTTTATTAGTGTTCTTTTCTTTTCTTTTTTATTTTTCTAATTGATGTAATCATGGGATTTTTTTTCCCCTTCTGATTTGGGGCATGCACACATACATGCCCAGCATGTTTATCAAGTTGCTGATCCAAGATTCAAACCATGGTTGGCCATGTGAGATTTGACTTTCTGTGCACAGCACTTAACTGCTGTGCTATGGGGCCAGCCCAATCATGAGAGATTTTTACCATTTTCTTTTTGATTACCTAGATTTAAAAATTGAGTTTTGGGAACCAGCAGGCGGCATGGTGGTTAAGGCACTGGACTCCCATATGGCTGACCTGGGGGCTTGCTTTGCTTTCTCACTTTCTCTCTCTCTCTCTTCCTCTGGTGAGCACATGTGCCTATAGCAAATTAAAAAACTAATAAAATTAAAGAATTCTTTAAAAAATTGTATGACAGTCAACATATATTATTCTTATATTTAAAAAAACTTCAAAATTATTTTTAGTTGAAAAGTGCCCCATAGGGCTTCCCTCCCTTTCTCTCTTCTTCCCTCTTTCCTTTTTCTTTTTTCTTTCTTTTTTCTTTTCTTTTTTTTTTTTTTTTTTTTAGGTTTCTGCAATAGGGCACATGCACTTGCCAGAGAGACAGAGAAAGATAGTGAGAGGGAAAGTGAGAAATCACCTCCCCCAGGGGGGGATGGCCACACTGCAATCCCTTCTCTTCCTGGGATTTTGGGCAGACACACACGTACCTGGTGTGAGATCCAGGCCAGGTTCAGGACTTGAACTGCAGTCAACCATGTGGCAGTCCAGTGTCTTACCCACCATGCCTCCTGCTGGCCCCTCTTCTTCTTTTCTTAAATCTGGGTGGGATGCTCCAATTCTGAATATGCTGCTATGGCCACAGCCCTCTTATTCCAAATTATAGTTTGACCCTGCAAGTTTGATTCTCTCTCTCTCTTTGTTAGACAGGGTATTACTATGTGATGGTCTTCCTGCTTCAACCTCCCAAGTAGCTGGAACTACAGGTGCATACCACCAGGCCTGCCTGTTAGTGTGGGCCAGGAACTGAACCTGTGTCTCACCTGTGGCCTCAACTTGTTGAGTAGCAGTGTATACCAGCTTGGGATACTGTGACTGTGCCATGAGTTCCATTCTTAGCTCTCTTCCATGCCCACTGAGCCACCTGTTCACTCCCCTACCCCTCATCATTCACTCCCATACCCCTTCTCGGGCTCGACTTTGTGTGAGTCTGTCAGCCTCATGGGGCAAGGCTCCAGCAAGGGCAGGCCTGGGCTACATCCTCTTCTGCACCTGCTCTTTCCACCACATCTTGGTGTTCACACATACTTTGCCCAATGCAGTGTTTTCTTTGAGAGAAGAAGGATCTCAGAAGATTGAGATGTTAGGAAACTTCCTCAACAGAGACAACTTCACTTGGGTTCTCTCCCCTGGGTGTGATCTGGCCCCAGGGTTACCTCTCCTTTCCCTTTCTCTCCTTTCCTCTGCCTCCCACCACCCTCCTGGTCCCAGTCTTGCCTTCTCCTTACCTCACTGTAGGTCTGGCTTGAAGGGAAGAGTGTCTTAAATGTGGATCCAAAGCCAATGACATTGAAGAGACAGGTTGGCATGAGGCTCTTCAGAGCCACTAGCATGGCGTCCTGGCATGCGAGAAAGGAATGTTTCAAGATTCAGGCAGGGATTTGTTACTCTGCCACCACATACCAGAAATTCATTCCCAGCACAGGATCTGTCTCCAAATAGGCCTTGAATCCCTGCCTGCACCCAACACCTCCTCTGCCTCATACCAAGTAACATGCTGACACTGATCAGAGGCTGCACCAAAGCCATCATCATAAAACCTTTCATCCGAGCAGCAGGTCTGGCTTCTCACAGCCTTCCCATTATGGCTTGCCAGTTCCATTTTACCTCTTGCTGACCCTGAGAGGTAGGGATTGCAGGAAGCACCCACTCCCTTCTGCCAAAGCAAAATTGATGTCTAAATGAGGAAAGTGGCCTGGTCTGGCCCACACTTCGCAGAACAGCGTCTGGCTCTCATCCAGGGCTCTCTGCAGCAGACCCAACCTAACTGTCATCAATGAGGGGACACATCCCTAGACACCATCTCTTTAGCTCCTGTTTGTTGAGTGCATAGGATGTTCTGACACACATGACCTCACTGATCTTCACCATAGCCCTCTGAGGCAGGCACGCTGTTTCCCCCCACTTTATAGGAGAGAAGATCGAGGCACAGAAAGGCGAAGTGACTTGGTGAGCATCAAGACAGTAAATAGTGGGTCTAGGAAAGTCTGTGAACATCGAAGAGTCTTAACATAGGTAACTGTGTACCACCAGGAGGCCTTGATGAAGGTATTGAGAAAGACAGAGGGAGGAGGTGGGGATAGCAGGAACAAAAATTATGATTATGATATTAACAATGATTACGATAATAGCAATGCACTACAGTGATACATACCAAGCGATCTCTATGTGCCAAATGTGTTAAGCACTTAGTAGTAATGATCTCATTTGCTCTCTAGAACATGCATTATACTTTGACATTAAACACATCTGGGTTGAAATACCCCATTTACCACTTCTAAGATGACCTTGGGCTAATTATGTCACCCCTCTATGCCTCAGCCAGCACATGTGAGCATTTGTGAAATGGTTATTATTGCCAACACAATGAGCTGCATATTAATATTAATACTCTATTTGACTGACAAGGAAACTGAGGCTCAGGAGGGTTAAGAAATTGGGCCAAATCAAAAAACCCAGGAACATGATTAAAGCTTTCAAAACATAGCTCTGAGATCTTGATTCATGTTGGCTCTGTCTTGGCACAGAACTCAGGATGAAGGTCTCCCCATGATTCTCATACAGTTTATATATGTCACCCCAGAGATCTCAGCATGGTTTCAGGGAAGCAACCTGTTTATACCCCAGAATCTAGAAGGAAACAGCTGCAAGTGGGTTCTGGCAACTTTCACACCATACGGCCTTCCAGGGTCCGCATAATCATCCGCTGTTCCCATCCCCCTCTGCAAACATGAATGTTCCCTCTCATTGCTGTGTCTCTCTTCATTGCTTGTGTCAGTACATTTGCTGTCTCTCTACAAAAGAAGTCAATATCTGCTTATTTTTTCATTAACCACTAATGTATATTCCTGCTAGCAGGAGACTCTGCTGATCCATACAGATTATCTCTGCTAGCACCTATTAGAATTTTTAAAGCCATGGTTTTGGCAGAAAGCGGCAGCTAAAGAATGAGACCAGCTGCAGGAAATTAAATTGGCTGAACTTTACCCTTTAGCATGGGCTATTTGGATTTCCATTCTCTCCCTCCTCCTTCAGTCTAGTTTTTTTTTTTTTCTTCCTAAAACTTCTATCCAAAGGGCTACAATCAATGATCCAGACAACCTCTCAGAGGCCTCATTGTCAGTGGGGGAAGGGGCATGTGGCCTGAGTAATTTCTGTGCCCTTTTCTAAAAGGGTCATGTTGAGCAGAATGTATTGCACCAATGCAATTGGTGAAGGGATGACCTTGAGCTCAGTGTGAACTGGAGAAAGGCAAGAGAGACTCCAAGGAGAAAGAGGGCAAAAGGAAAGCCAGAGAAAGTTACTGTCAGAGGATTCTGGCATTCAGAGGTGGAAAGACAGTTAGTTTAGGAAGTGGATATTCACTCATAAGCAAACTTCATTTAATTGGTAGTAATTTCCTGGAACATTGGGCTGAGATAGATATAGAAAATGAGTTCAGGCCCAGCAGGAAGAAAAAGTCATGATCAATTATTGATGTGTGCCTGGGCTTGGGAGAGGGGAGCAAAAGGACATGTGACATCGTCTGTCCCCAAATTAATCCTTCTTTCTCATCTTACAGAAAGGACAACTAAAGCCCAAAGTCAAAGATCAACTTGTCCAAAGCCATGTAGCAAGTCAGTGACAGAATCGATCCCAGAACCCAGACAGCTCTTTCCACGATGCTGTGCAGCAAAAAAGACATCATCAGACAAAAAAAAATTTTTTTTAGTGGAAGAGTATATATAATTCCTCTTAAGCCAGGAAGGAAAACAAACACTGAATCAAGATGTATTGGCTCAAGCTCCCTCACTAGCTCTGTGAGGTTTGGAAAAGCACTTAGCCTCGTGGGCACTCAGTTTCTTTATCTGGAAAATGGAGGGAGAATGAGTTAAATGCTCTTGAAAGGTCCATGATGCTCCAGGGTAACTGAGGAGATGCCTTATGAATTGGTATGGCTTGTGAAATGGAATACAACTGACCATAGAGGCCTGGAGTGAGTTTCAACACTCCAGCACCACGGACAGCGCCTCGCTCTAATTTTTGCCTTTGATGGTGGGTAGGAGTGGGCAGAAGGTACCCACCAGCCCTCAATCCCAGTGCCAACAGGCCTCAGACAGGAACCTGGATCTCATAACTCCTCTGTCATACTTTAAAACCAAACTGAGTTGTAGCAAGCCCGAGGAGATAGCTGGCATCTCACACTCTACCTACCCTCCTCTCCTCAGTGAGCCTGTTGCCCTGGAAACAAGAGCTTGCTCCAGGGACAAACTAGGGAAAGGATGAAACTTCAGGTGACAGCAGAGCTCTGCTCCCTCTTTGTCACCTTATCCCTTGTTCTCCAGAACTAACATCCTATTTCCACTTCGGTAAGCAGACTGAGGGCTTTTTACCCATAAACACAGAGCTAGGCACCATGGGGAAAGAAAAATGAGAACTATCTGGCCCTTTCCCTTAATGCATCCTTAACTCCAGACGGGGAGGAAGACATCTGCACAACTAAAATACATGGAAGCATTGGGAACTTCCGTAATCAGGACAAATGATTCTCTGAGGGGGATAAAACTCTTTTGGTTGGCCAGGACAAGGGGTCTGTCACTCTTTCTTCTATGCTCTCGTGGAGCTCTCCTTAGCAGAGAGACCAAGTTCTCAGACATTCTGATTGGCTAGCATGTCTGTTTCCCCACTTCACTGTAATCTCGAGGGCAGCAACTATGATTATATCCTGATGTCCCTCCAGGTGGCGAAGGCAGGGCCTTGCACATACTAGGCACTTAAAAGAAAGAGGAACCCACATTTTTCTGCTAGATCCTACATATTCTTGGTGGGCAAGGGTCATGTCCAATAAATTTCTGATGTCAGATGTTGGGCACAGTGGGGCAGCATGGCTTTAATCTTAGACCACACTTGCAAATGTGACCATGGGAAGGTGACTAAAACTCTCAGGATCTGTTTTCTCACATAGAAAATGATAAGAATAGAACCACTCCATTGTCTGGGTTAAATGCCAAGCTGTGGATTCAGTGGCTAGTGCAGGGTCTGACACATAGTAGGCCCTCAGCAAATATTAGTGGCCTTCCTCTCTTCTTCACTCAGTACCTAGTGAGGTGTTTTAGCCACAACTGGCATATAGCAAAAGTTTGCAGAATACCAAGGATAGCTGTTGATCCCTTCATCACTTGTAAATAGAAACCATTCTGCCTCTGCTCTCGTCGCTTCAGGGCTTTACCGTGAGAGTGAACAGTGACTTGGGCTGGGGTGTCTCTTTAGCCTGACAATGTCATTTCTTTGAACAGGAAGGGCTGAGGAAGGCAGGTTCGGGGAGCACAGCTGATTCGCCGTGGAGCCATGGCCCCTGGGGGAGGGATGCTCCTAGCAGGTACCTTGACTCGATCCATATTGGCTCCATTCATACTGCTGCTCCTGTCGATGAGGAAGATGAACTCCCCATGGGTCTTTCTCAGGTTCGGCTGGACCGACTGGAGGTCAGGGCAGAAGTTGAGCATGATGACGGAATGGTGGAGAATGTCTTTGTGGAGACGTTTCCGGATGATTTCTGTCTGGAGGAGAACAAAACTGTCTGACTTGTGCACTCAGGCATCCAGAGGTCCTCCTGGGGGCCCATGCTGGTGCCCTGTAGCTCCCCAGGAGGGGCCAGGATCCCACTTATACCCTGCGTGGGAGACTGCCAGGCTGCCTGTGCTTGTTTGCTAGACTTTCACAGGTGGCAACAGCAAGCGGGAACTTTGCAGGCAGAAAGACCTAGGTTTGAATCCCAGCTCTGTCACAGTCCCAACTGTGTGACCTTGGGCAAATCTCTCCTGGGGCCCTAGTTCCACATTTGAAAAGCAGGAAAAACAGCTTCCACCTCTCAGACAGGTTTTAAAGATGATCTGAGTTAGCACACACAAATGGGAAGCCTCTCTGGTAAGCTCTCTGGCTGGTCTTGGCCATGAACCCGGATTCTCTGATGTTCGGATTCTCTCCGTGGA